CACGTACGCGCACCACGCACACACGCGTACCGTCGTTGGCGACAGCGGCGCATTGTCCGTGCCGCTGCTCGCGTATGGATGACAACATTCACACCCGGATACAGGGATGCGTAATACTCTTGCGCGCCAGCGATCACAGTGTCAAACGCAGCAGCCCAGTGACAGCGTTGGCTGGGTTTACCCTGTGTGTGCGTGTGTGATCGTGAGAAACGGCGGGGAAGAAAGTTTGTGTGTGTGTGTGTGTGTGTGTGTGTGTGTGTGTGTGTGTGTGTGTGTGTGTGAGTATGTATCGTGGGTTGTGGGTGCGTGAAAGCAATGGTATGGAGCACATGTTGACGAACAACGCATTCACATGCGACATACACGCCCTCTTGCCGACAGACCTTCCATAGATGACGGCTATATGGACGGTGATTGGGCCCGCGTCCGCAGGAAGCAGGGCAGGCGCATCTGGAAGAATGTAGAGGCGTGGTGTGTTGACTTGCTCCCCGGTGAATGCATCGTAGAAGGTCACTGACAAGGGCTCGTCGCCCTGAAATGGTGGCACTGGCGCCCTGGCCACGACCTGTGCCGTGGATGGAAGGCTTGATCGGCGAAACCGCAGCTCAGAGAGTGGATGCGTTCCTGTTGCTACCATGACGAGTGGTTGCGACGCAGCGCCTGCTATGACCTTGTTGGGGAGGTGCTCCATGCATGGTGTGATGCAGGGTGGGTCGGCACATGCAAACGCGCACGCGGTGTTGCTGGTGCTGTTGGGGAAGCGAAATAGCGCCGTGAGGAAGACTGCGGCGTCCCACAACAGCGCTGTGCGCGGGGTGTACTCTGGTGTCAGGAACCGAGGGATGATGCGGGGCAGGCGCGCTGGGGAAGGGTGGCGGGAGGGACGTTGCAGGGTTGGTGGTGTCGTGGACGTACGTGAACACGAGAAGATGGGAACATCATGGCCCGGACATCGAGCGCGCATACATGTGACACACGCACACACACAAACGTGCGCGCATACATGTGACACACGCACACACACAAACGAGCGCGCATACATGTGACACACGCACACACACACACACACACACAAAGCAGGTGCACACGCACAAAGCAGGTGCACACGCACTTGCTGCTGCGCGGATGCCTGTGACGCGATCGATGACATCTTGTTCGCCGTTGGTCAAATCCAATGTCACCGCCACGCTGAAGAACGCCAACTGTGCAGCCACAACCATCATCGCAAAGATGGGGTGTGAGTGATGCAGTGTCGCACAAACAAAGTGGACCAGCAAAGACAGCACATCCGCACAGGTGAGTAACGCTCGCATACAAGCAAACAAGCAACACGAGCGCAGTGCAAGGGCACTGACGACATGAGCGACAGCAGAGTGAGGATTGGCTGTTTGTGGCGCTGAAAGGTGGAGCGTACCGCAACTGCAGGTTTGTCCTGGTCCTTCAGGTAGTACGAGAGCTCAGTCAAGTCAAAATCGCTGAGCAGTGGCGATGAGATGTACAGGTACCTGCAGCGAAGACGGAAACCAACGTGAGAAATGTGAGCACAAAGAGGTGACCACACGGCCTGTGTCAGTCATGCGGAACATACATCTACAACACAAAACGCAAGTACTTTGACAAACACACGCACGCACACACGCATGGGCATCGCACCCTGGCTCGAGCATTCCTGCTTGGTACAGCTGCTCCAGCACTGCTGCAGCCTCATCCAAGGTGACGGGAAGGAACAGGAACACGTGTACATCCTCGTCCTTGAAGTCTGAGCAGTGAAATCCGGGTGGGGGTAACACTTCCACCTGCGATGATGATGATAGATGTTGTTCGCGAAATATGCACGTGGAAACAATCCATGCACGTGGAAACAATCATGCGTGGCGGCCAGAACGTAAGCAGACAGCGCGGTGGAGATGTGAGTACGACGATGATGGCAACCACCACTGCGCGTCTGTGTCTGCATCTTCTGAACAGCTTGAGTGTTCTTCGAACCACCGCAAACTATTGCCCACACCACGCGTACAAACAAGCCACACACACGGCGCTGACAAGTGACTTGATGGCGTGCGTACGTTGTAGTGTGCAGCAGATGCCACGACGGCGCTGAGAAGGGGCGTGGAGGCAGGCGAGCATGATGGTGCTGTGATGAGGGCCACGTGGGAGTACCCGAGCTCTGTCAGGAACATCATGGTCGTGTTCAGCACGCGATCCAGCGGCGGTACAAGCGCAGTGGAGCCGCTGTTTGGCACCGGTGCCGTGGCTGCAAGGCAAGCAAAGCATTCATATCCAGGTTGAGGAACACGTGGACAAGTGAGCCCATACGACAAAAAGAAGTAATTATGTCACAGCAGAACAACAAACGTGTGCAGCGAGACAAGCGGAGAAATGGAGGACGGGGAAGGACGGGGAAGGACGGGGAAGGACGGGGAAGGAATGCTTGGAAGCATCAACACAAACACACACGCACACACACACGCACACACGCACACACCACACACACACGCACACACACACACACACACACACACACACACACACACACACACACACACACACACACACACACACACACACACGAACCTGCAGGGTCGATGAAGACTTCGGCTGGCCCAGGATCCAGCTCACATGTGGTGAGTAGCGGGTTGCACAAACGAACAGATATGTCGACGTCGCCCACGCCAGAGCTGTCCAGCCTGGTTTACGTATGTATATGTGAGTGTGAGTTCAATACGCGCGAATCCACACACACACACACACACACACACACACACACACACACACACACACTCAATCCAAGTCGACATGTGAGTGTAAAACCGTCTCGAGATAGCACATCCTGTTCCTGCACACATGGTCGCTGTAGCCCAACACAATAAAGCAAGACGCCCACCGGAGAAAAGGACAGCCATTCTGAAAAGGGCAGCGCCAGTTGTTGACGTAGTCCAAAGCCGTGGAAAATACGGACGTGTATGTGATCTGAAAGAGGGGGGGGGGGGTTGTGATGTTGCAATGTGGGCGGTCCGTACGTAAGATCGCGTGAACATGTGTGAAGTGGCGTGAGGATGCGTTGGCTGTGCGGTGAGTGCGGCGCGGCGAGCTCGCACAGGAATGAAAAACAAACAATACGGAGAGCAAGTTGCTAAGTTGAGTTATAGAGAAGCATTCCAAACAGGAAGAAGAGCTGCACAAGATGCTACACAAGACGAGTGCCACGAAGTGTAGGAGTGTTAGAGAAGGTCGGGGAAGAAGGGGTACATGGTTCTGTTTTGTGCAGGGGCGCGCACCTTGAAGTCTGGTGGGGCGTCCTGTGGCAGGATGAGCTGGACATGGATGGTTTGCTGGGCAGTGACGCTGGTGGCCGCCAGAGCCAAGCATGTCACAAGGAGAAGGGTGGCCAAGCTCATGGCCAACCTTCGTGGTTGTGTGGGTCGCACAAGAGCTCAAGCAGCGCTGCAGCTGAGGTTGTGCGTGACAATTGTGGGATAAAGCCACGATGGGCTTCCGTTGCACCTCGGAGGTTGGGGGCGAGGAGGTGCAGGGGTGTTGCGCGCGAGCAAACGGGAAGAGTATGATCAACCGCGAGTTGTCGCTTGTGTTCTTGCTGGTGTTCCTGAGGATGTTGGTGTTGTATGATCGATCGTGGTGGCGGCTGGCTGCTGGTGGAGTTGCGTACGGCCTTGTGTGTATGTGCGAGGCACCCAACCAATCAACCCAGCCTTGAAAGTGGTGGGAACGGTTGGCTGTATGATGATAAGACGGGTGTACTGCTGGCACTGTTTGTCATGCACAGCCCAATTAGCAAAGCAGCCACGCGCTCAGCTCCTGCTTGCACAAGTGCACGTCGATTAGCCAAAAGAAGGGGCAGCGTAAAGCCGTGCTGCTGAGGACGATGTTCGAACGAGGATAAAATGGCAGCGAAACCAAAGCGGCCTGTGCGAAAAGCTGAGGAACAAGGTGAGGTGCTGTTGTTGGTTTTGTTGGTGCGGTGATGGCGGTGGGTGTGGATGAGTGTGGAGGCTGTGAGGGAAGTGATAGAAAGTTGATACACGCCTACACGCCTCTCGAGAGAGCAAGTGTCTGTTGCGCACTTTGCGCTGTGGTGACTTTTGAAGCGGTGGTTGTCTGGATTGTGTTGATTGCACACAAGCAGCAAACACGTGAAACCGTGTGTGCTGTGCGTGTTCTTCATTGATCGAGGTTTTGCGTTGAAGTGAGGAGGCGGGAAGGGGGGGGGGAGATATGTGCGTGCGGGTGTGTGTGTGTGTGTGTGTGTGTGTGTGTGTGTGTGTGTGTGTGTGTGTGTGTGTGTGTGTGTGTGTGTGTGTGTGTGTGTG